AGCGAAAGAAGGCATGCTTTACATAATATAAATTTTTAACAAAAAAGAAAACCATCTTCAAGAGAAAAAAATTATATCATCAACGCAGTCTAAGACAATTAAATATTAATTATTAAGGATAACTCAAAAAATATTTATCAGAAATTGATAAAATTTTAACCCGAATTATGAGAAGCACCAGGTTTCAAATAAATAATAAAAAAATAAAAACCGAAACACCTTGTTTAAAAAATTTATGACGTAACACACACAAAAATGTTGAATAGAGAATCTCCTCCTCTTTTGAAATCGGTTAAAAATACGTATTTTCGTTTAACAGTAACCCAAATACCCACTTATTTATGTGTACGGTGAATGTCTAACGATTACTGCGGCAGGGGCAAAGACCTCGCACATTTCGTCACTATACACAAACTATATGAAGACTAGGTCGGCCCCACTTTAAGACACCAGCCTATATGATGTATAAGATAATTGAAAATTTATCGGGAAACTCACAGTGGACTTTCAGTGATAAATTTAAAGAAATTTTCTTTTCAAGTGTCCACTTTCTAACAAGGTTTTTTTTAAATCTTCTTCACGTCATCATATCATCATCTATGCTCCAGTGATCGAACGTCTAACAGACAAAAACAATATTGTAGGTTGTAGGTATATTAATAAGATATCGACGAAAGTCTAAGTTCAGTCGATTAGTTCTGTATAAATTTTAATTAACATTTATTAAAAGAGCATCGTTGAAACTTGTTCCTTACTTATGTCACCATCCTTGATTTAACTATACGAATGATCGTTAAGAGTTTCATGAAATTCTTTACGTAAGAGCTCAATGAGTTTTTTTGTTTTTTTTTTTCGTTTAGATTTATGTACGTCAGTGCACTCTATAAATAAACGGGACTCGTGGTTCAGTCAACTGTAGACCGCAAATAATCGAGTCGAGCATAAGAGATCATGGAGAGAATATTTGAGATCTAACACTTTTATTAGACTGCTTTATTCTAATACTAGCCACCCGCCCTCGCTTCGCTTCGGAAACATGAAATTTTAGAAACCTCAAAAATAACAGTATTTCTCCACTATTTAATGGATGTTATTATGCATATAAACCTTCCTCTTCAATCACTTTATCTATGAAAAAAACCGCATCAAAATCCGTTGCGTAGTTTTAAAGATTTAAGCATACATAGGGATATAGGGACAGAGAAAGCGACTTTGTTTTATACGATGTAGTGATAATCCCAAAGGTAAATAAAAAAAATTACTGTACTATCTTAAATGATTCGACGGAATATTGATTTATCGAAAGTAAATTTTTGCAATCTCCGTGTCTCGCTGATTTGCATCACGTATGCGAAAAATCAATACAGCACAGACAGTATAGCAATGACGTTGTATAAAAGTTTAAACTATTTTTATTTTGGGATGCGCAGCGGATGTATAAACAAATTTGAATTTAATAGGTTTCAGTTTCCGCTGATTTAACTACGATATTTTTAAATTGGTTGAACGAGCGATAGATACCGCCTGTATTTACTGGTCAACCACGTCATTTCGGATCCTCCCAATCCACTAACGGTGCTTTTAGGAAACTCAAGCACCGGTCACCGCTCTCGTCGAACCCTTCGTCGCAAGCGACGTAATTTAACCATAAGACACAGCCCACTGAGTTTCTCGCCGGATCTTCTCAGTGGGTCGCGTTTCGGATCCGGCGGTAGATTCTGCGAAGCACGGCTCTTGCTAGGGTGCGTGTTAGCAACGTCGTCAGGTTTGAGCCCCGTGAGCTCACCTACTAGTTAAGGTTCCGCTGAAATAGCCTCTCAAGGCTATCAGCTTAGGTAGGAAAAAAAAGAAAAAAAAACTGGTCAAAGTAGTCTATAGACATCACAACGTGAACGCTGCCACCCCTGAGGTGACACGAAATGTGAGATGAAGGTTTCCATTGTATCGTACTCGTACCACTCCTCGAACTCAGAAATAGACAGGATGGCGGTCAAGTCATTTTTTTCGTTCTGATTACACAGTACATTATTTTTTCTCGTCCTGATTACACAAAGACTGTATCAAATATACGTGAAGTGATGAAAATACTTGGTGAGGAAAATCCAAATGTGTTATGCGATCATATGATAAGATTTAATTATAGAGATAGCCAAAGGCAAAGTTCAGTCAGTACATGTTACTTCTTTCTCTGGCCTGTTTTTTTTGTTGTTAATTACGTGTATTATCTATAAAAAACAAGCCTTTTTTATCAAATTTGTAATCCTGACCAAGATGACTCAAAGTAATGAAATTATTAAATGTCATCGATGATATGATAATTTAAGGTTATGCGTCATGATAATCGCTTTATCGTTGCCGCCACTGAATACTCTCCGAATCCTGCGCGAGCAGGAGACAGTTACCTTCGACGCCTTAGACACGTCCTTATGGAACCATCAGATAACTCTTGCATTAGACGCATTCATTTCTAACATTAGGAGCAGTCTTAGGGACTTTGGTAACTCGGCAAAGAGGTTGACGTGCAACTTAACCCATACATTAGACCGCTGAGTTTCTCGCCGAAACTTCTCAGCGGGCTTACTACGATCATTCCGATCCAGTAGTAAATTTTTCGTGATACAGCTGCTCATGAGTTGTTAGATCTCCTCTGGAGGCGCTCGGGCGGCTGTTAGCAATCCCTTCCCTTCTAGCTGAGCCTAGCTCGTTCACCTGTCCTAATGAAACTGAAAAGACCTCCGGGCTAGCAGTAACCCTTCATTAAAAAAAAAATCACTTTTTGCGTTGTTGTTGTGAAGAGCGAAGTACAATTTTTGATAACTATTTAACACAATACCAAATTTGATTTATTCTTTGTTTTAAAACATACATTTTGCACAAGTGTTTTTTATATAAAAGATGATTGTTAGCGTTGTGTTTTCAGTTGAAATTAAAATTAAATTATATATTGTTCCTTGCGTTTAAATTTCGAAAAAAATTGTCTTGTCACCGCTAGTGTTTGACAGTTAATTCACACCTTAAATAAAGACTTATAAATTATACACATTAGACACATTAAATAATAATTTGTGCCATCACACTGTTTTCGAGTGTTCCAAAACGCGGAATTGATCTAACATATTAACAATAGTTTTAAAATTTGCTATATTGTTAAATGAAAGATACATGTAAATCACATAATTGTCCGCCTGTAAGGTATGGTACTAAACGTGCTAAAAATATATGACTAAATTTGAAGCACACATGAATTACAGGAAGGTGGAAAAAAATATGTTAAAAGCAATAAATATCGCTACTTACTCACGTTATTTGATTGAATAAAATCAATGAGAAACAAACTAATATTTTGTTAACACTTTGACTGCCGCCATGGTCATATATAATATTATAAGAGGCCACTGTTTCTCAAGTGACGTCATGATAAGCAGAAGCTTAAACTTTTTACAATTGTAAAAATAATCGAAAGTTTACTAGTAATACATTTTTAATAAATGGACAATAAATATGCTAAAATAAAAGTGTATATGTTATGGGTACGTTAAATAGTTTAATATTTAATAATATGCATTTTAATTCATTGTTCGTATTTGTTTTGTAATAATGGTAGAACCTCTTGTGAGTCCGCACGGGTAGGTATCACCACCCTGCCTATTTTCAGCCGTGAAGCAGTAATGCGTTTCGGTTTGAGGGGTGTTTACACTTTGTTAATTAATGTTAATAATTATCTATTTATGTACATATTTAAACATAATCCTAAATTGGGGGCGGAAGACCGTGTGTGAATTGTTCATAATTATAAAAAAAAAGTTATTATATCTTTATCTAATGTCTTCTAGAACTTATGTGTGTTATCCTTTTTCAAACGAGGCTTGTGGCGGCTTGGCTCTGCCCCTGGCATTGCTGAAGTCCATAGGCGACGGTAACTACTCACCATCAGCTGGGCCGTATGCTCGTCTGCCTACAAGGGCAATAAAATGAAATATGTTCTTTGGTAGAATATAAATGCATTTCTAAGCAACTATTTAAGCACACGTAGACCAAATCACGGGCAATGATAATCTGTAATAAAAATTCAGCGGCTTTAATCTTGCAGGCATACAATGATAAACAATACTGACTTACTGCTATTTATTGCAACTGCTTATTTATTAAAACGATCATGTTACATTAAATCATTAATCACTAGTAAAAAAAACTGAGCAAATCTAGACTTAAACTTACACAATATGTAAACAAACAGCTGACTGAAGTAAATCTAAAATGACTAATTGGTCGTGATGAGAAATAAAAGAATAATATCATGAATTACACAACAAAATGTTCTCTGTGTACCTATATAATATATGATTTGATGCTAACTCAGTATCTAATTCGTATTACACTTAAACAATNCTAGTAAAAAAAACTGAGCAAATCTAGACTTAAACTTACACAATATGTAAACAAACAGCTGACTGAAGTAAATCTAAAATGACTAATTGGTCGTGATGAGAAATAAAAGAATAATATCATGAATTACACAACAAAATGTTCTCTGTGTACCTATATAATATATGATTTGATGCTAACTCAGTATCTAATTCGTATTACACTTAAACAATGTCGTCAAAACGTAAAAGTTAAAACTTCAAGGCGTACGCTGTATGTATTTACATAGAAATGTTATTATAATATCTACGTATGTCAATAACCTTATTGCCACAGAGCATTCATTATAATAATATGGTATTACGTACAGTACCAAAACGTTTTTTTGTAGGAAATTTGATGTGTTTTTTAAATATTTTTTCTCTTATCGTTGTATAGTATTGTTTAATTAAAAAAAAGGAATTATTACTTAAATTACATTCACCATGTGCGTCAGTATTCTATAATGCCATCCCGTGACATTAATCTCGTGTAATTTTCTAGTTAATAAAATCTACGATGTCAGACTGCTAAAGAATTGATTAAGATTAATTAGACCAATGTCATTGGTCTCCAGTTGAAGACATGTGATAATGATGGATATAACTGTTTTTGGTAAATTTTGGTACATATTTTTTTTAATTTTTGATACTCATACAAAATTTATAGTGTTATAGAGGATCTTATGACAATTGCCTGTCCGATTATTCATCAAAAAATATATAGATATAGCGTCTCTGGGCGTCGCAAGCCACTGTCACTACTTCTCCCTCATGTTGTATTTATATTTTAACTACCTAGTCCTGAACTTAACAACTAGTTATTTTGTACATCGCATGTCCGCACAGGTGAATATCACCACCTTGCCTATTTCTGCGAAGTGTTGCACCAATGTATTTAAGACTTAAATATCATGGATACCATATTTGGAACCTTTTGATTTTTGATTCTATTACAAATTGGGTGTTGAATTACTCAAATATTCTTTTTGTTAACAGACGCATGTCTTCGGTGCCAGGGTGAGAGCAAGAAGGACTCATACGGGAAGCAGGATTGTGTGGTGGTTTGGGGCGAGTGTAACCATAGCTTCCATTTCTGCTGCATGTCTCTGTGGGTAAAACAGAACAATAGATGCCCGCTCTGCCAACAAGAATGGTCCATACAGCGTATGGGAAAATAAAGTACGCTTTGTATTAAATCACACGAAATAAAGAAGCAGATTTGCAAAATAAATTGCATTTTCATTATTACAGTCAATTACAGTAGACAAGACAAAAAAATAGGAAGCTAGAGAATGCAACCTTCGCTGCGCAAAGGTTATACTTGTATCGTCATGCACACACAGACACTTATGTTTTACTGAGACATTTTGCTAGAAAAAAAACTACTAACTTGATGAATAAAATTATGAGTTGTTTTTCGAATATCCGATTTTAATCATGTAACAAAATAACTGATAGGCTTATTAAATTACAGATGTTTAAGTAAAATAATTGAATTATATCATTTAGCACTCCGTCAAGTCTAATGTACTTGATTGATAACTTTTGTTTGACTATTAAAAAAAAAAGCCTTGAGAGCGTATTAAATTAAAAACCTTACTGAGTGTAAATTGAATTATTTTATTCACAAGTAACTTTTAATTTGTTAGTATTGTAAGTACTTTGTTTACCGAAAACGAATTATACACATAAACTATTATAATATCTAATAATAAAAAATGAACTCCTAATGAAAAATCGTTAACCAAATTTACAATTTTAATAAACAACTTCAAATAATTAAGGAATTTCAATTAGGTACTATATTTTTGTTCATGCTATGCATTAATTCACTTATGTATCTAAAGTAAAATTTTCATCTGTTATTGATACAGCTATATAATTGTCAAACGTTAAATAAAAACCTAAAACTAAACCAATAGTCGATATTTTAGTCTGCAAAGAAATATATGCAAAGAAAGTAGAATTCCATTAGCGTGAGTTTTTCCGCGCCTGCGCTGTCTGGAAAACAGTTCGAATTAATATGGAATGTCAATAAAACGGTGCTGGCAGAGATTGAAAAATACGAAGCTATGAAATTAATTTCTATTTGATAATATGAACAAATTTACTATAAATATGGACTTTAAATGTCGTTTCTTTGTTTTTACAGGTCAGTATAGTAATGGTCATAGTTTAGTATGTACAATTACATTATAATAAAAACAAATAAAAAAATTATATTTTAAGAGAGCAACATGTTAAAGTCTTAGCAACATATTAGTCTTATTTGAACATGACAATAATGACTAGCATTATGTAATATAATCACGCTTGCAGATCCATTCATTATTAAAATGATATTGAGACAGCATCTATTTGATTGCATCATGAACCTCTTAATTAATCTATTGTTCTTAATGTTAGGTAATCGAGTATTTAGTATACCTATGGCCATATGAATATACATTACAATAATTACAATCTACATTACAATTGAGGATTAACTTTAGTACTTGGCTCAATCTCTTGTGGTACAGAACCGATTCTAATTAATAATTTTTATTTATTTATTTAAGTTCTTCGTAACTTCTGTACCTAGCGAGAAAATCCTAACTTCAGGCCTTCAGTTGTAGGATGTTTATCATTTAATTTATTAATAAAACTGATCATATTCGTAAATATTAAAACTAGCTTGATTTTCAAGCAAATCAAGAACTTCAAATTAAATTAAGTTTTATGACCACGTTTCTTTATTAGATTGTTAAATTTATTATATAAAACAGGAAAATGCAACTTGTTTCAAGGCCTCTAATATAATTCAATAATCAAGTATTTAAATATTTTGTCTAATTAGGCCAAACTAAATTCCCTAAATTAAAATATTATTCGTAGTTTGTTTCATTATCTTCTTATAAATAGTTTCAGGATATTAAATAACGAATCTATATAATAAATATAAATTTAAATATAAGTTGAATGCTATGAATCTCTCAAAGTGATGAGTTATTAAACATAGAAGGAGTTTTTCTCAGTGGTCTATGATTAAGTACATATTATGTAGGTAGGTAGGTACGTATATGATTTTACTATTGCCAGAATACTCTTGCTACAATGCATGTTTTTTACCATAGGCAGAGTAATATCGATTTGCTCCAAAGATCGCAATTCTTACAATGATCCAGATATATTTTCAATGCTAAATCAATGGACTGAAGTCTCCAGATGATTTAATTACTAAGTATGAACGTAGATACAACAATAAAACCTGAATACAATTTTGTTGCTTATTAATTTCACAAAACTGCGTATTAAAATATTGTATAAAAAATACCTATATACTATAATATAAAAATAATGGTTATAAAAAAAAGTGTACAATAATCAAGTGGCTGTGGATAATGCTCTGAAATTGCTGAATGCTCTGAAACTTGAGTCTGTGTATTTTTTTAAAAATCTAATTCCTGCGTTGACTTCTCATCGTTGATTTGGTAGTTTTCTTCAATAAATGGACTAACGGTAGCCACATTTTCCTCGGCCTTCACACTTGAGAGCTGACCGACGAGAAATGAATTTCAAAATAAAGATAAACTTGGAAACCTACAATTAAATTCTGGATATAATTACCATTAGGTGTACAAGTGGGATATTCCTTGTAATTTTTCGGGGGCTGGTGAGACTTAGACTTTTAATATTATTTTTAAAAACTGTCTAATAAGTTTTCCTGGAAAATTTAACTTTTAATTTTTTTCAGATATAGGGTGAAAATCACAGGGCACTTCGAAAAAATCAAATTTAATTTATCAACTTATGGGTTCATAAGTGGTTCATAAGGGCTCAACGAAAAGTGGTTTAAATTTGAAAAACCGCCACCGGAGTAGAGTTCATCCATACTACCTGGAGCCACTGCGATCATCCACAGTGCGTTTCCAGAGATCTTTTTTGACACGTACCATCCGGCTATGGAATGAGCTCCCCTCCACGGTGTTTCCCGAGCGCTATGACATGCCCTTCTTCAAACGAGGCTTGTGGAGAGTATTAAGCGGTAGGCAGCGGCTTGGCTCTGCCCCTGGCATTGCTAAAGTCCATGGGCGACGGTAACCACTCACCATCAGGTGGGCCGTATGCCCGTCTGCCTACAAAGGCAATAAAAAAAAATAAAAAAAAAGTATTTATATCGCTAAGTGTCGAGTTTTAGGAACAGAATTCTTAGAGGCCGATCTGAGCTTAATTGTTGACCTTCATCTCTAGTGGTTGTATATTTAAAAAAAAAACACATTAGTGGACACCTCGAAACATGCAAGCGTGATTGTTTGATAAGTACTAGATCAAAGAAACCTTGAAACAAACGACTGTCAATTATGTCAATAAACGTTGCTCAAATTTATAATATTCATTCATATTTAATTCATTGCTTCACAACATTCAAATATCTATTACTCACAAGAGTGGCAACACCGGTAACAAACTGTTGTAATTTGTAATATCTGTCATATTTTCAGTGTCCAAGTTATGTTATTCTGACTACTCCAGTAGCAGTAAGCTCTTTTAAATTATAAATTATTATATATTTAAAGTTTGTAGACTTGGAAAAAGCGTATTATAGGGTTCCCGGTGAGGTTCTATGGCGGAGCATGAAAATGAAAGGAGTGCCTGGGAAATACCGGCGGCTTGTTCGAGCTGTGTACGGTAGAATTAGTACTTATATATGCTCCGCAGCTGGCGACACCGACGAGTTCAACGTGGCTGTAAGCTTACACCAGGGATCAGATTTAAACTCTTATCTTTTCATCCCAACAGGATGCCCTAACATCGGACATACAGGAGGAGGTGCCCTGATGTATGCTGTTCGCCGACGACCTTGTTCTCGTTGGAGAGGAAGGGCCCGAGGTACAGAGGAGACTGGCAATGGAAAGAAGGTTTGAAAGTGTGGGTTTGAAGATCAGTCTAACAAAAACCTAGCACATGCTCTGTGATTTTGATGGTTCTTCAGACTTCACGCCAATAGCCCTAAGGCGATTATCACTATCTAAATAGTGAATCCCTGCCAGTCTGTTCCGACTTCAAGTACCTCGGCTCTATAATCCAGAACGACGGCAACATAGACTGTCACGTAGCGAGCCGAAAAAAACGCTGATTGGGTGAAATGGCGACAGGTCTCTGCAACAGCATGCGGTCGTAGAATGCCCCTTAAGCTCAAGGGGAAAATTTTAAAAACGATCAATAGATCTGTCGTGTTGTATGGATCTGAATGTTGGGCGATGAATGTAAAGCATGAAAGAGAAGTGCATGCGGCAGAGATGCGAATGTTGAGATGGATGTGTGGAGTGACAAGAATGCACAAGATAAGGAATGAGTATATCAGAGGAAGTATGAAAGTACTCCCAGTGATTGATAAATTAAAGAGCGGACGGTTAGTGTGATATGGACATGTGAAGCGTAGAGATGAGATGCTTGTGAATAGGAGATGACTAGGAAATGGTGGTGCAAGGTAGAGGTCGACCGAAGAAGACATGGATGGAAGCCCATTGAGTTTCTCGCCGGATCTTACAGTGGGTCGCGTTTCCGATCCGGTGGTAGATTCTGCAAAGCACTTCTCTTGCTAGGGCCAGTGTTAGCAACACCTCCGGTCTGAGCCCCGAGAGCTCACCTACACGCTAGGGTAACGTTGATATAGCCTCTCAAGGCAATCATAATAGGCACGAAATAAAATTTAGTGTGTGAGTGAGATGATATGAGGGAAAGAGTAGTAGTGTGGAGAATTAAATAGAAAAATTAACTGCCGGCCCCACCTAGTGGGAAAAGGTGGAGACAAAGAAAGAGAAGAGAATAAATTATGACATTAACGGTGGAAGTTAATACATTTGAATAATACATGAATTAAAATATTTTAAAAAAAATTTGACAGTCAAATTTTTGTGACTAATTATTTTAGAATACTTGAACAGTTTCCTTGTTAATACCGATACACTATCAATTTATTTAAACGACCTTGTTAATCATTTATTTAGTTAGATACCTACATAATTCAAATACGTTGCGGATGCAAAAAAAGAAACAGAAATCACGTGTAAGCCTCTATGACAGATTTTTCAAGTACAAAGCCGATACGCTAGTTGGCAACCTGAACAATTCGGATACGAAATGTCATTCCTGGATTGTTTATCAGTTGCAACACTTGAATAGCATGTGACGTTTAAAGTGAACTGAACAAACACGTCTGACCACACCCAGCCGGGCCTCCGCGTCCAA